CTCTTAAAGGGAATGGGAGATCTGACTCTGATTGGTTTATTCTCAAAACACACCTATAAACTTATGATTAAGAAAATTATAAATCTAAGATTATATGATTATGATTAATAATTATAACTATGTTTAAGAAAATAAGCTCAACCCTTTTAGACCATGCTCCACGGCGCAAAGCGGATTTTTCTGTCCCTATTTTAGCAAAAGTGGATTCTGACACGCCCTAAATGCATTAGCCCCATGCGCTTTGCACTTTGCGCATGGACCGTCAAAATAGAGGCCAAAAAGTCATAATTTCGAGTATCTGTGGATAAATTATGATTATGTCTTAATAACTAGCAAATATCAGTCCAAATTTCACTTTTCAAAGAGTGAATTGTAAATTTAAATTCATGATTGCTGGTAAATGTCTAAATTGCAATTCCAATTTTCTTTTTTTTTCTTTTTTTTTTCTTTTTAATAAGTTCTTCCATTAAAAACAATGTAAATAATGCAGGCAAATGATATCACATTCACTGTAAAATCAACCAGAGCAATTAATTAAATGAAAAGAGTTTTATTTGACTTGCATTTTTCAATGAAAGTTCATTGAAATTAATACAAACAAGTCATGTGAACTCAAAATTTGAATTTACTAGACTGAACATAAACTGAATGAGCTCACCGAACCATGCAGATTTGTAGTTCCCAGCATGATTTGTAACTGAAAAATAAATGTAAAAAACATTATTTAGACTTTAATGTTGTGTTATGTTGACATTATCAGAGGTTTCTGTAAAAAACATTGTAAAACTCTACTAAGATTACAGATACAGTTAAGTTAACAAAACTTTAATGGTTAATGACACTCAATATAAGGAATTTTTTTATACACTGAAAAAAATAAAACTTAACAAATTACTTTACTTGTTGCAATTAAATAAATTAAGTTTGACGAACTTAATTTATGACAGTTTTCAGTAACAACTTTAGTTCTTTTAGGTTTAACACGTTTTAATAATTTATGGCAAGTAAAAGTATTGTTCAGTAATATAGCATTATATTAACATGGGGAGGAAAATTATTATTTGTACTGTAATACATGTATCATTACTATTATTATATTAACATGGCAAGGAAATGATTTATACTGTTCTGTATGGACTGTTACATTCTTCACAGTAAAAAGAAATTAGTTACTTAAAGTGAATAAACCAATTGCCTTAAAAGCAACAAGCTGACTTTACAAAAATAGTAAACCCATTGTAACTTGGAACCATTAAGCTTACTTAATTATGCTTATTGTAGCTACTTCTAAAGTCAACTAATCCTTTTTCACAATGACAAACTATTTTAGCATGTCTCTTTTCAAATAATTACTGCAGTTATTACAATTTTACTTATTTGGTGCTTCATTAGGTCTATAAAATCTACAATTATAGCCTGTATTGAATTTAAAATACATACTGGAGTCTGGAAGAGCAGGTTTATTTTTGTTACTGTCATTTTGCTAAATACAGAAAACCTGAAAAAATATATAATAAATGTGTATTGGAAAAAGTGATTAGTTTACTTTTATTAAAAATTTAAAAAAGTGAATACAACTTGCATAATAATAACATTAAGTCAACTTAACAGTTCCAAGTTACAATGGGTTTACGTACTTTATTTTTGTTAAGTCAACTTGTTTCTTTTAAGGCAACTGATTTACTAGCTTTAAGTAACAAATCATTTTTTACAGTGTTGTTCTCTTAAATAAATGACCAAAACTTGTTACACCTAAATAAACTTACTTAATTTATAACTAAAAACTGTCACAAATTAAGTCAGTCAAACTTAATTAATTTAATTGTGACAAGTCGAAGTACTTTGTTTAAGTTTTTGCTTTTTAAAGTGTATATCAGTAAGAAAACCTAAAACAATAAAGTTAAAATTGCTTAATTGAATTAAGGCAGCGAGTTTGCACAATTCATTCAAGTAGACTTAACAGACGTATATTTACAGTGTACATTCAACTACTTTCTACACTGTAAAAAATGTTGTGTTCCACAGTTTCTTCACAATTTGCCCCAACACAAATGGATTAAATTAACTTAATTATTTACAAATTTAAGTGGATTGAACATAAAACAATTAAGTTGTCCTCGAAAAGACTTCAACAGTTGTGTTGTTTCAATTCATTTTAAATGAGTAGTTTGAAAAAGCAGCAAAAGTCTTTTTTTTTTGTGTATTCTCTCTCGTGCATATTTTCAGCAAACGTGAGAATGTTTAGTTGGTCTCTTTGGCCTGAACTGAAAGTTCTGAAATATAAATATGAATTGCCACAGCAATAAGGAAGCAATAACACCCAAGTTACATAAAAGTATCAAAGATCAGCTGTAGTTTGGAGTCCAAAGGCTACTTTCAGCTATAAATGAGCAATAGTCTGAAATTGTCTTGAACGTTTCATATTTATCTCAGTTACTAGGAAACCATAAATATATGGACTTGCAAATAACAATCATCTTTTCTGACGCAGGTATGGAGCTGGAATCATATCCTTAGGTAGTCTATTAGATGTTGTGACCAAAAGATTCTCCACAGAAGTCGAACTCGAAGAGGTGATATTGTCATTTATTTATTTATTTGGTTACTTTAGATGATAAAATGGCGATATCTAAATCCAAAATTGTGCTTCTGCCCCACTGACGATTCAAAATTGTTTCTATGCAGCTGAAGCAGCTTCAGAGGGAGCAGATACAGGACGATAAGTGGATAGCAGCTCGAGCTTTGGAGCAGGTCATTGAAAGGACAGCGGCCAACATTATTTGGGTGAAAGAAAACAAGCAGGTTGTTAAGGACTGGTTCATTGCGGAGCTGTAAATTATTCTTTTTTGTGAGTCTGCTAAATTGGAGTATATAAAGCGGAGCCAAAACATTCACAAACAGATGTTAAGGCAAACCACAACAAAAGCAACACCCTCCTGTGATTCTGAGGTGATTTTGAACCACCGCAACTTTTGGAAGAGAAGAACAAAAAATGTCTGCATGACACTTTCCTTTTGGAACATGAAGTAGTTCATAACGAATATATGATGTATTCTTAAGAAAAAGGCCAAAAATGAGTCAAACCTCAAGGATCAATTAGATTTTTCTGTCTTATGATGTAGTTTTCTAATATAGATACTCCTGGTTCAGTATTGTTTACAGTGATGAAATCACATGAGCACAAAACAAAAAAAAACATAAGCACAATGCACTGTATTTTATGTTTTTATTTGTATATAGTTGAATCAGATGACATATTAACATCTATGAAAGCATGTTCTTTTAAAATATTAACTTTTTATTAAACAAAAAAAAACTAAATTCTGTTGATCACTGTGATCTGTAATTATATTAAAAAGTGAATAGCAAAGTTTGTGATGAGTTTTCATAAGACTGAATATTTTTAATACATTAAACATGTAATTATTTAAATAAAGTGGCAATTTTTTACACAACTGTTTCTTTTGATGCATATATACTATATCATTGATTAGGGGTGCTCGACACAAGCAGAAGACTGTTTGTTTCTTCTCATATTTTTTCTTTTGCAGAAAGTCTCATTTCTTTAGGTTTGGTTGATTTGAAAGCAGTTTTTTATTTAATAGATTAAAAAAATAGAGGGCAATATTATTAGCCCCTTGAAGATTTTTTCTTTCAATTAGCTTCAATTATATACTGTAAATACAGACTCAAGTCAAGTTACATTTATTCAACCAGCAAGTTTATTGTTATTATTATTATTATTATTGTTGTTGTTGTTCTTGTTGTTGTTGTTGTTATTTTACCGGAAATGACACAGGCTTTTCCAAAAAGGTAACAAGATGATGTACAGGAGGCATCATTGTGAAAAAAAAAAACATCTTTTAGCTTTTATTTACCTTTGTGGCGTTCAGAATTAGCCAGGGGTTTTAATAACTTCAGATAAAAGCACAGTTAACCAAATCAAGAAAAATATATGAATGGTTATACTGTGCAATATAATATTGTGATGTCTACATTTCCTTAAAGCATTTAAAATGACTGATTTTAATATTTTAAAATAATGCAGAAAGGGCAACATGGTGGCTTACTGTCACATCATTACAGCATGAAGGTCGCTGGTTCGAGTCCCAGCCTAAGTCTGTTGGCATTGATGAATAAAGGGCCTAATAAAATAAAGCTGCTAGAATGGCCTAGCCAATCACCTGACTTAAATCTAATACAAAAAAGAACTAAAGATTAGATTTGATTTGAAGACTTTGTTGAAGTATGGGGGGAGATACATGTGACTCCATACACTGTAAACCCTAATGTTGTCTCAAGATGTTTTAACTAAACATTACTTAAATCATTGTATTTTGGCACCATAACTTGTTAATATTTGTTAGATAACTTATTGACCTTTGAAAAACATAAACCCAAGATTACATCATCATCATCATCATCATTAATACTTTTAAATTAAATATAAAAAAGTGTTTTTCACAATTTTTGATACTCTTTTCTTTGATTGGCCATACAAGGAGTTCTGTCAAGAAGTCCCACTATGTAAAACTGAAATAAAAAGTATTATTAATAATGCAGTTATCAATCTGTGGTAAGAGGACTGGAATACAGAATCAAAGAGAAGACATTTCTATAACATCCAATCGAAAGTGGGGAAAGAAATGAAGGTGTATGGAAACAGGAAAGAAGACACTTAGACTCCATATAGGTCACTCCAATCTTAATTGTTGACTGCACTTAGTACTTAAGTTTTGTGAACTGAACAATTTAAGTATAATCTACAAAACAAGCAAGTTAAATAAACTTAAATACGTTTTGGGAGACTCCGTTACTCATATTAGATTGAGGCAACGAGTTTACTCAGTTAATTTAGTTCAGTCAACTTATTAGGGGTTTTTAGTGTACAAAAGGAATCTCATTACAAAAAAATGTTTAAAAACATTTCAGGAACTTCTCCTTGTCTTTTTCCATTGTCAATAAACATCATTTTTTTCAGGCTTTTTTGTTTTGGTTTATTTGTATGTTTGGGCTTTTACCAAAATCTGGGTCAATTTCATGTCAACAGCTCCTTCAGAAATATATTTAACAGAAGAAATCATGATGTGTTCAATACTTATTTTACCCGCTGTACATATATAAAATACTTAATGCATACAAGTTGCTATTATAAAATGGCACTTTTGCTGTTTATTTGTAATATTTCCACATGCTAATATAGGAATACTGACTGTGTGGTGTAAATACACAGAAAAGGCACTGTGATGCAGTCCTGGAAGCTCAAGGGTGTTGTTCAGTCATCCTGAAAACAGGAGATAACACAACATAAAACAGATGTCAGACTTTGCATGAAGCTCCAACAAATCCTCCATTGAATCATTGAATTTGTTTGATTTCATAACAGGAAGTGGTAGAAAGATTACACATCTGTTCATGATCAACCCATGTCTCGAACGAATCCTTTATGCGGTCAGATCAAAACATATTCAGTTAAACAGAAAAACGTACCCATTCATCATCGTCCGCTCCCTCACCCTGAGCGGCACTTTTCCCTGTATTTTCCTGGTTGGATTTGTTTGCCATTATTTTCTCTGTCCACGATGCCCCGGCGTTTTCATCTCCAGCAAAGTTGCATTTTGTTACTGTGCCGCTGTCCAATTTGGCGAAGGAAACTAGATGAAAACAGAGAGAACAGGAGTTTTTCAAGCAATAAATCAAAGAAAGTGTAACAAAGTTTGAATTGATCTTTCGCTCATTATTATGTGTCCTGTTTCATGTTTTGTTCACTAAAAATGACTATACGTTATTTTTATGTTGGTCACACTTTACAATAAGGTTCATTAGTTAACGTTAATTAATGCATTTACTAACATGAACAAACAATGAACAATACATCTACTACTGTATTTGTTCATGTTAGTTAACGTTAGTTAATGAAAATACAGTTGTTTATTCTTAGTTCATGTTAACTCATGGTGCATTAACTAATGTTAACAAGCATGGACTTGGATGTCAATAATGCATTAGTAAATGTTCAATTATGATTAATAAATGCTGTACATGTTGTTCATGATTAGTTCATGTTAGTAACTGCATTAACTAATGAACCTTATTGTAAAGTGTTACCATTATGTTTTACCAAACAAAAAATGTCCAATAAAGTGTCATTCACTGAAAATGCGGTTTAATTACAAAAAATGATTGCATGTTATATTAAAAGACTCTATTTAAAAGGATAGTTCTCTGAAATATTAAAATTTACACAAAATTTACTTCACTTTAAGTGGTTCCAAACCTTTATGACTTTTCTTTTTTCTGTTAAAGACAAAAGAAGATATTTTGAAGAATGTTGGAAACCTGTAACTTTTGACTTCCATGTAAAAAAAAGCAAATACTACAGAAGTGAATGGATACCACTTTTCAGTATTTTTCAAAATACCTTTTTTGTGCGTTTAACAGAAAAAAATGCTCAAACAGGTTTGTGAAAAATGAGTAAATACTGACAGGATTTCAGTTCTGGGTGAACTGTCCTATTTTGGGCATTTTTTTAAAGTCTTTATGCTTCTATCTTTCAAACAACTTTTTATCATTTAAAACATAGTAAGATTCAGAATTATCACATATTATTTATTTATATTATATAAATTATATAATTACATATTATATAAATTTATATATATTATATAAATATTAATACTGGGTCCGTTCTTCGTACCTCGCTTAATTGATCTAAGATGATTTAACAGATCCTGGATTTTTTATTCTTGGTAACTGATCTCTGGCTGATTTGGTTCTTCAAACAAGTTTGCGAATCCGATTAAAATGTCTTTATAAACTGATCTGAGATCTATCGATCCACGAAATCCTGATCAGCAATGAAACAATTGGCTGAAGGCACAGCAGTATAATGACATCATCTGATTAATATTCAAGTATAAATGTGAGTAAAATTACATAAAATTTATAGTAAACGATTTGCTAAATATGATACGCGATAACTTTCCACCTTTGTTGGGGGCTGCAGGCCTTACACTTTCATGTGTCAAGAGTACTTAGTTATTTATTTAGTTTTACATTTACAGCAGATGTTGTTAATATAGAAGCCTAGGGCTATTCAAGTTTCTTAATTGGCATAAGGAATAACTGGCTGTTTAAAAATGATTTTGCATCAAAAAAGCATTTTGATATCAGTAAAGGTGTCTGCAACATATTAGCTATCAAAACATGTGCATGACTGCATAAATTATTATTCCTTAAAGAAAAACAGTTGAATATTGTGCTTGTCTATTATTATACACAAATTGTACTAAAGCTGGTAACTTAAAATAGTGCGCGCTTGTGTCTAAAAAGTCCATATTAATAAATGTTGCTATTACAACAACTCTCGGATGAGTTTTGAAGAACTAAACGATCCTGAATCGTGTCAAATCGTCAATAACCAAATCCAGCTAAATGAGTAATCCATGTATGAAGAAGGGACCCGTTCAGCATAAGTATATTGTTTAACTTTTCATAAATATCTCTTTAATTCTAAATGATGATGGGACATTATTTCACCAATATTTTGACATTTTATTTTAATCTCCTTATTTTAAACTCCAGCATTATATAAGATTAATATGTACATTATATTAAAATTACTTTTGGAAACTGAGTTTGATGTGGACACAAAAATGGGACATCTCATATTCTATTTCCTCACATATGAATGGCCCATCTCCTTTCGTTTTAAGGCGGACTTCTTGGCCGGGCTCAAGCTCTGTTTTGTCCATCTCCGCCTCTGAGATCCAGAAAGCAAAGGCCTCACGAGGACAATGTTTTATGGTTACTTTAACCAGCTGCTCCTTATTCACAATTTCACGAAGCTGGCGCTCATCTAGACAATCTGTTTCACCTTTAGCTTCTACTTCTGCAACAGAAAAAAACATTTTTTCATAAATCAGCTAATTATATTTATATAAAGTATTTCTTAATGTTTAATTACTGTATTGTACAACTGAAAGATGGTAGAACATTAATAAAACTTGCTTAATTAAATTCAGATCTGAATAAATGCACATTATGGTCACTCACTGTAGGAGGACATCAGAAAACCTGTGTTGACCTTCTTGGTATCACTGAAATTAGGTTCAATTTCGTTTCCTTTTGAATCATATTTTCTGCGATGGACACGGCTTGGTTTGATGTACAAAACATTATAACGCTCCTGAAAACAAAAATATTTAATTAGAAAGAAAATATAAACTTTTAAGTCAATAAAAACTTATTTAATTGTTAATTTATTTTCTTTTCACCTTAGTCTCTTTATTAATCAGGGGTCACCACAGTCAAGTAATATAGTGAAATGTTATGTTCATTTTCAGTAAAAATGTTTTCAATTTTAACCATTTTTTTCTGTGATGCCAAAACTGATGTCTTATGTGTATAGTTAAGTATCTTATAGTATTTGTTAGTTATGCATAGTTTTTTTAAAATAGCTCTTTTTTCCAGTATTGTGTTTGTTTATGATTAATCTATTTAGCACCGTTGTCCTGCGAGACACGACATTTCATTCCTCTGTATGTCCACACATGCAGCGGAATGACAATAAAGCTCAACTTGACTTGACTTGAATTATCTTTTATGTCACATGATTCTAATATATATATATGTATAATTTTGTTTATTTATTTTTATGGCACACTAGATATGCAATTCCGTGCAAAAGTCAAGCTTGCCATAAAAAAAAAATTACCAAAAAAGTTTTCACCAAAATGCAGAAACCATTTGTTTTTTGTTTTTTTGTGTAAGCAAGTACTTTATAGTGCTTTCAAACTATTATATTTGATTTACCAAAGTCATACAAGTGGCAATTTCACAACTGTCACATCCATAACGGAGAGATGTCACATCCATAACAACACTTTTTCCTCATAAATGTGAAAATACAAAATAAAATAAAAGCCAATAATTTTTATAGAGAGCCGACTCTTATCCATTTGATTAGCATGGTTTCTTTAGGGTTGTGCAGTTTAATTCACAGAATTTATACAAAGTATGTTGCAAACTGTAAACTTGCACTTTTTTAGTCACACCCATAACGCATGTTTATTTTCCACATTTAAAGTATAAAACATGTTTACAGACTGATATTTTTCTGGTCCCTTAACTCTGTGGTCAGTTTTTCTGGAAAATATAAACAAAAGTTTCAATATAATATTAACATATGCTTTCTATGTGAATTTGTGTGTGTGTGTGTGTGTGTGTTATATATATATATATATATATATATATATATATATATATATATATATATATATATATATATATATATATTCTTATGGCACACTTTCTACAAGTAGTACAATTTAAAAACAGCTTTTATCTGAAATATGTTTATATTTATGTGATTTTACTGAACCCAGACTTTGTAAGGCAGTACATATTACATATACTGTAGTACATTTTCATGAACTCAATATCTGAGACCCTGAAATGAGGAAATGTTTTGTGTTCAGTAATAAACACTTCACCTTTCTGTTTTTCACATCTGTTATGGCATGGCGTGAAAAGTCCACAACCGTCCCTTCTAAAATCACCCCATGACCACTGGAAATTCAAAATGATACATAAACACACTGTGAGAGATTTACAATGTCCAAAACTAATAATACTTTCCACATGAAGCACTGTTAGTGATAGTAACCATAATAAGCTAAATTTCCAGTTTAGTTTGGAGTAGTCCACATATACTTCATTAAGTTTCATATAACTACATCAGTAATCGTGTTTAGAGAGTGTTATGGCTTTCCACTTTAATATTAGTATCTCTGAACGAAACCCAAGTCGACTTGTAAAAATAAGGTATTCACTTTTATTGTATTACCTCTGGTGAACTATTGGATCCCACGTGAAGGATAGTTTCTCGTTGTGCACAGGTTTGTTTAACAACGCAGTGTTGTCATAAATACGACTCATCTTCAGTCGATGATTTGGATTTCGTCGAAAGCTCTGCTACTTCCTGGTTTCTTACGTCATCAGGAAATATCTGACCACTGCTGTAGATGATGTGTGCTTGCAATTGTTACATAAACGTTACGCAAAGAATTTGACTGTTCAAATGCTTTCATTTTATTTCAGTATTCATCCAATGTGTTTATTCTTGTTTTAAAAATCGCCGATGAATGGTGGTTAATATGAAAAATATATATATTTTCGGAAATATGGCCTATTTGAAAAGCACTAAACATATTTTTTTCAGTTTATATTTATTTTTATTCATTTGGAAATCTGTTCATCTACAAAAAAAGGTTTTTTTCTTCTTCTAAAAGCTATGTATAATGTATATTCTGCAAATTGTGATTGCTTTTCTTACATGGTATTGTTATCATCTATTCTAGCACAAATATCTAAACATATTTGAATAGTTCCGAAGCACAATGAAATAGTTTTTTTTTCATAAAAAAATCAGCTAAGTGAATTTATGAATTTATATATTTATTATGCAAGTTCACTTCTCAAATAAGTCTTGATTTTAGAATATTTTTAAGGAACTGTCTTGATCATGACAAAGAATGTGTATAGAATTTATGTATATACTTGGCCAAAAAATGTATATTATTATTATGGTCAACGGCTCAGACACCTTCAGTCAATATGTGGCTGAGTCAGGCAACCAGACTTCTACCATTAGAAAAATTGACCAATGATCAGATTTACTTCAAAGATCTGAGGTGTTCATTCTGTCCTCCTTCTGGATTTTTCTTGAGGGTAATCAATGACAATGTTTTTCTAAATTTGTTTTATAATCTCTTTATAATCTAGAATATGTACTGTGGAAATAAATATACAGAATATTTTTATTGCATTGTATTTAATTATTACAGTGTATATCCTCAGTGCTGTCGAGTTAATGGAAATATAACCTGGGTGAAGTCTCATCAATACCTATTTGGGAAAAACCCCAGCAGATTACTAATATTTTTATTTAATTTAAATTTGTTTTGCTTTAGGAAATTTAACTCATATCACAATAAATTGTACACAAATGCACATTACAAGATAGCATAAAAAATAAATTAAACAAACCACAAGGACTAAAAACTAAACACACACACATACATTCATTCATTTTCTTTTGCGGCTTAGTCCCTTTATTAATTCGGGGTCGCCACAGCAGAATGAACCACCAACTTATCCAGCATATTTGTTTACGCAGCGGATGCCCTTTCAGCTGCAACCCATCTCTGGGAAACATCCATATACACTCTTACACTACGGACAATTTAGCCTACACAATTCACCTGTACCGCATGTTTTTGGACTGTGGGGGAAACTGGAGCACCTGGAGGAAACCCACACGAACGCAAGGAGAATATGCAAACTCCACACAGAAACGCCAACTAACCCAGACAGCGACAGCATTACAATAGTAACACACATATAATTTAATAATAAACATTTAAACAATACTCCCCTGCTGTTAAAAACTCATATATTCATGTACAGGGACAATATAGTCTCACAGCATAGTCTTCTTGTAATCATGAAGGGTGGCCAATATTACTCAATGTTTTGATTTTGTTTCATAAACGTTATGTTAATGATTCTGTAAGTATACTGTAGATGTTAATATCTGATATCCACATTATGGTTGGTATGATTTACGTTTCTCAGACTGTAATTCAAAATTCTGTAAGTAATTCAATTTCCAAAGTCAGGGGCGTTTTTAATTATTTTGGGGTCCTATTAGAGCCCAAGTCCTGAAATGCACCCTTTTTACTTTTATTTAACATTTATATTGCTTTTTTATATATATATATATATATATATATATATATATATATATATATATATATATATATATATATATATATATATATATATATATACACACATATATATATATATATATCACTCAGTCTTCTTTTCGACATTTAAAACTAATGTAATCTTTACATTTTAAATTATTAGTTTTCTTAAAATAAATTTACTACTAAAAATAATATTTCACTTCATGGACTGCTTCATTATGGATATTTTATTTTGTAATATTATTATTATTACATAACATTACATTAGTATAATTATATTATATTCAATTGTATATTAAATAATATTTACTTACACTTTAATTGTATTTGTAACTCTCACCATACAAAATATGGTACAAAACAATGTTATATATAGTTTATAGGTATAGTTTAAACTTCTAGATATTTTTGGGGGGCTCCCAGATATCCTCACTTTATACTCGCTTACTGGTTAAATCCACCCATGTCCAAAGTGCTTGAGACATGCATTTAGCGCATTTACTTACAAGGCAAATTTCAGATAAATGCAGCACTTAACAGTGATTATACTTTACAATAAGTTTCATTAATTAATGTATTCATTAACATGAGCTAATTATGAACAATACTTGTACATGTTTTATTAATCATAGTTCAACATTTACCAATCCATTATTAACATCCAAATTTATGGTTTTTAGCATTAGTTAACTGAGTTAACATGAACTAACAATGAACGACTGTATTTTCATTGTCTTGCTTTACCTAACATGAACAAGTACTGTAATAAATGTATTGTTCATTGTTTGTACATGTAAATGCATTTTCTATCAAGGAGAAGCACTTTAGCAACGAGACCAACAGCCTGTAAGTACATTTAGACTTGTTTTCAGTTGTTGTGTATGGTTTGGAGACACTTAAACTTGTTTTCAGCTGTTTGTGTAAGTTTGTAGGACATTTAAACTTGTTTTCAGCTCTGTGTATGGTACCAGTTTACCCACTGTTTCCTTGGTTACTATAAGAGCTTGTGTGTTGAGCGCGGACGGTTTCGGGTGTTTTTACTCTCGAGGCGTGTCCAGCTGAATTCAATCAGCTAGTGCTCTGGGTGTCCAGTTGAATTCAATCAGCTAGTGCTCTGGGGTGTATATAAACAGCTAGTCTAGGTCACGGCAGCCTTGTGTGAAGACCGCCGAGTGTAAAGACCATCGACTCTACCTTCGCTATCGACTCTACCTGCAGCACTCCACCGAGCAGACAACAACAAAGCACCCGAGTACTTTACTTATTTATTTTACTTTATCTTTGCACTTATTATTGTTTTCATTGCACTTTTATTATGCGTTAACTAATTCCTGTTGTTACTAACACTCGCAAAGCACGTGAGGTACGCATTATGCGTAATCCTCACAACCTTCGATCAATAAATGTATCTACTATTTTCCAACTCTCTCCGTGGGCCTCTGGAATTGTCAATCAGCTGTTAACAAGGCAGATTTTATTACCTCTATAGCTACACGTTCTGACTATAATCTCATGGCTCTAACTGAGACCTGGTTGAGACCGGAGGACACTAATACACATGCAACTCTTTCTGCTAATTTCTCTTTTTCCCACACTCCTCGTCAGACAGGAAGAGGGGGTGGGACGGGACTACTGATTTCCAAAGAATGGAAATTCACTCAGAGACCGTCCCTGCCAACAATCAGCTCCTTTGAATGGCATGCAGTCTCCATTATCCACCCCTTCTACATAAATGTGGTTGTCATCTACCGCCCACCGAGTACATTAGGTCACTTCTTAGATGAATTGGATGTTCTTCTCTCATCTTTTTCTGATAATGACACTTCCTTGTTGGTGCTAGGTGACTTCAACATTCACATTGAAATACCTCTAGCTGCTGACTTCCAGACTCTGCTTGCCTCTTTTGACCTCAAAAGAGCACCTACTTCTGCTACTCACAAATCAGGTAATCAGCTAGACCTAATTTACACTTGACATTGCTTCGCTGATCAAACACTAGTAACTCCACTACAAATATCGGATCATTTCCTTCTGTCTCGCAACATCCACATTACTCCTGAGCCGCCACACACTCCAACACTGGTTGCCTTTCGCAGAAACCTACGCTCTCTCTCACCCAATAGACTATCCACCATTGTTTCAGACTCTCTTCCTCCATCTTGCAAACTCTCTGCACTTGATACAACATGTGCCACTGATACACTCTGCTCCACACTAGCATCATGTCTAGACAGACTACGTCCTCTTCCATCCAGGCCAGCCCGTGCCAGTCCTCCTGCACCCTGGGTCTCTGATGTTCTCTGTGAGCATTGCTCAAAACTTCAGACTGCAGAGAGAATTTGGCGGACAATTAAATATCCTGAACAGCTCATAACATACCAAACTCTTCTGTCTTCTTTCTCGGCTGAGGTTACTTCTGCAAAGCAGACATACTTCCGTCAGAAAATCAACAATGCCATCAATCCTCGCCTACTTTTTAAAACATTTTCCTCCCTCCTCTATCTTTCTCCTCCACCCGCATCCTCCACACTTAATACTGATGACTTTGCTACATTCTTTTGCACCAAAACTGCAAAAATCAGTGCTCAATTTGCTGCACCTACAACAAACACGCAAGATACACCACCAACACCACACACACTCACCTCTTTTTCTCAGCTCTCTGAGTCTAAGGTGTCCAAACTCATGCTATCTAGCCATGCAACCACCTGTCCACTTGATCCCATTCCCTCTCATCTCTTGACTCTGGTTTATACCCCACTTCATTTAAGCAGGCTCGGGTAACCCCACTGCTAAAAGAAACCCAACCTGGACCAAACGCTACTTGAAAACTACAGACCGGTATCCCTACTTCCATTTATGGCCAAGATTCTGGAGAAAGTAGTGTTCAATCAAGTCCTGGACTTTTTTTACTCAAAACAACCTCATGGACAACAAGCAATCTGGCTTTAAGAAAGGCCACTCAACTGAGACTGCCCTGCTCTCGGTCGTGGAGGATCTCAGACTGGCTAAAGCAGACTCTAAATCATCAGTCCTCATCTTGCTGGATTTATCAGCTGCTTTTGACACTGTAAACCACCAGATCCTGCTATCTACGCTTGAGTCACTGGGCATTGCAGGCACTGTTTTTCAATGGTTCAGATCTTACCTCTCTGACAGGTCATTCAGGGTGTCTTGGAGGGGAGAGGTGTCCAACC